CTCCGCGGGCTGGACGGGGAAATCGCCGCACGCTCCGCACAGCTGCAAGCGCTGCAGCAGAGCTGCCGGCACATGGAGGCGGGTGAGTGTGCCCGGCCGGGCAGCCCCGAGGGCACCGGCAGCTCTGCCCTGCTGCCGTGTGGCAGCCCGGCCCGTGATCGGTGCCACCTTCCCAGAGCTGAAGGACCTGAACAGCTCCATGACAACCCCTGAGATCGCCAGAGAGATCGAGGCGCTGAGGAAGGACTGTGCCAGTTGCACGGAGAAACTGGAGAGGATTAAGTCTGCTACCAACCACGTAACTCCAGAGGAAAAAGAGAAGGTGAACAGCTGCTGTGTCTGGATCCAGGATCCAGCAGTTCCCTTACAGGCAGTGCTTGCCCGGGGCTCCTGCCACCCCCTCGGGCTGTTTGTGACCCGCTGCTGTTGGCAGGTGTGCCGGGAGCAGCAGCTGTACCGCCGGGAGTGGCGCCGGAGGAAGCGGATGGTACCGGCTGGGGTGCGGCTGGGCACTGAGGGCCCTGCTGGGACTGCTGCCCACAGCCCTCACGTGCCCTGTCTCGCCAGGCCACAGAGCTGCTGGATGCCATCCTGGAGGGGTATCCCAAGAGCAAGAAGCAATTCTTTGTAAGTACCGAGGCTGGGCCGTGCCCACAGCTGCCAAGCCAGACCCTAAGCCTGTTCTCCTGCCACGCAGGAGGAGGTTGGGATAGAGACGGATGAGGACCATGGTGTCGTGCTGCCAGCGACTGTGTGAGGTGCTGGGAGAGCCTTTGTTCTGGAGAGAAGCTGCTATGGAGCTGCCTCTGAAACTTGGCTGTTGGGTTCTTCTTTTTCTCATTTTGCAGGACTGGGGCTTGTCCTGTGTATTTATTTGTTTTTGTTTTAAAATGTTTTTCAGTTGGAAGGGTGGTGGGTGGGAGGAATTTGGCACTGGCCCTCTCCTTGCAGTGGATGTCGTTTTTTCGTGCCCCCAGTAAATGGAGCTGCCTGGCTGAGGTTTGATGTGACTGAGGGGACATGTGGGGGCCCTGGTGCTGTGTCTCTGGTGTTCTGGTAAGGAAAGGGGCTGCAGAGCTCTGTATGTGTTCCAGCTGCTGAGTGGTCATATGAGAGTATGATCCATTAAACAGCAGGATTTTGGTTCAGCTGCACATCCCTGTGCTGTTTGTCTCTTCAGAGGGTGTCAGGGCAGTGTTTAGGCTCTGAGGAGTGGGGAGGGCAGGAGCCAGGAGAGGGTGACCTGAGCCACAGGGGCTGGAATTGGCTTATGGAAACTGCCAGCTCTAGAGCAGAACTCCAGGAACTCAACATCAGAAAAAACATTAAAACATTCAGCGAAATTTATTTAATTACTTTCCACAATAGAAAAATACATCAGTTTCATGTGTGAGGTCTGTAAAATTCCACATCCTCTTTCCAAGGCAGGAGGCAGTGCTCCCTCCTCAGTGTTGGAAAAACTTCCTGAAATAAACATTCCCTGGATGTGCCCCTGGAGCAGGAGCACAAACATGGTTATGGAGAGCCCTGCTGCTGGCAGCACCCTGGTCCCATCACTCTGGACAGTGACCAGCCCTCACCTGGGCAGAGCTGTGACCCAAACTGGGCGTGGGACAGGGTCAAACATGTTGCTGACAGCAGCTGCTCCTACAGCTGGCACAGGCAGCGCTTTGAGACCATTTCAAAATTTACAATAATAAAAATTAAATCGAGGCTGGTCGTGGATGTGTGTGTATAGAAGTTCTGAGGAGCAGCAAGCGCATGTGCCACACTATGCTACAGCTGCAGAACTTTCCTGTGCAGTACAGTCACAGTTTCTGAAAAGGAGAGGTGTTCCAGCACTTGCAGGAACTTCCTGTGTTCCTTCCCAGGGACTCATGGCTGCAGCAGAGCTTGGGGTTCATCAAGGCCCTAGTATATATTGACAGGGCCACAGCTCTTGACAGGTTCATCCTGCTGCCAGCACTGCCAGGCTCCTCCAAAACACAACAACTGACTCAAAACAGCTGATTCAGAGGGGCAGGGGACAGTGGGTTGGGGAAAAGCAATTACTGCTGTACCAGAAACCCATGACTTTTAGTCCCCAGTTGTCACAATTCCCTACCCTGGGGATAGCAGGGCTGTCACACCTGAGGGCACAGGATGGAGCTGCTCTGGGATCAGCTCTGCAAGGAGAGTCAGTGGCACAGGCAACCCCGTGGCACTGCCTGAGCCAGAGACTCTGCTCCCCACCTTCTGTTCCTCACCACCTTTCCCTCCCCTCCTGCCCAGTCCCTACAAAGATTTGGTGGCACTGAGTGGAGCAGCAGTGTTTGCACGACCACTTCAGAAGGAATACAATAAATAATTCAGAGAACCTTAAAAACAGCCACAAGGGAGAGGACCCAGGGTGGTGGCTGGCACCCAGGCCTCTGGGCAGAAGTGCCCCATCCCCACAGGCACAGAAGTGGCACGGGAGGCTCAGTAGAGCTGGCACTTCACCTTGTGCAGGACCCCGATGACAACGTCCCGCAGCGTCTGTGGCAGAGAGAGGACATGGTCAGCTGGTCTGTGGAGGGACAGCCACCCCTGTGCCACTGTCTCTGCCCCCTTGGCCATGGCACCAGCCCCTCTGCAGCCCTGCATTCACCTGGGGCTTGCAGTGCTCCTCAATCCAGCTGAAGACGCATGCTGAGAGCTCCTGAAAACTCGTTACAGAGACTGAGGCATTGAAGGACTGGAACAGGGAGTCCATGATGCCTTGGAAAACATTGAACTTCACCTCATCAGAGATCTGGTTCTTCCCCTCGTTTGGGTTGTCCTGATGAGCTTTCACAATCTGTTCGTAGTTCCTGAAACAAGCACGGCACACCAAGGACAGCAGTGAGGCCTCCACTCACGACTCCGAGCTGCCACTCCCAGCTCCTGCTTCCAGCTCTGAATTCCCACACCCAGCTCCTGGTTCCAAGCTCCAGGCCTGTCCCCAGATGGAGAACCACTGCAGAACCCTGCAGGGATTCTTGCAAGGAAACAACGGGAAGTAGACAGCATGACCCCAACAGCTCTTCCCTTACACTTTCATGATCTGCAAGGCCATCACATCTTTCCTGAGGGTAGAAACTTCCTCCTCCTGTTTTTTCTTTTCCTTGTGCAGGAACTGGATGTAGTCAATAGCTGAGCATGAAAACACAGAGTGAGGATTTGGGAGCACACACGGGCCCCTGAGATCCCCACAGGAGGTGCCTGAGCCAGGGCTCCACTGACCCAGTTCCCCTGGGGAAGGTGAGTGCAAGGGAGGAGCACCCAAGCTCCCCAGAGCCTCATCACACCAGAAGGTTCTAAGGTGCTGAACTTTGTCCTGCACACCTCTAGGGCGGAGCTTCGGGGGTTGATAGCACCTCCTTCCCTCCTGCCCTTGGGACTCACTTTTCTGGAGCACGATGGCCTTGCTCAGCTTCTGTGAGCTGATGGAGAAATCCTGCTGCTCACAGGTGGGGACAATGGCCTGCAAGTCATTGTAGCCTTTCTGCAGGGAAGTAAAGCCACAGAGTGTGGGCTCATCCTGTGAGGCCAGGTCCACACCCAGCTCCCACAGCACAGCCTGTCAGAGCCAGGGCAGCTCCCAGCACACACACTCATGTAGGGAGGGCACATCCAGCAGCAAAACAGAGGAGTGCTGGAAGAGAGGGGTGCTGGAGCAGGCTGGCAGCAGCAAACCGCTGCCTTGTGCCTCACCTTGATGGCATCTCGGCGCTTCTGCTCGGCCTGGGTGTGTGCCCGGCGGCGCTGGTCCTTGTACGACTCCTTGCAGGACTCCTGGTGGTAGTCACTGTCCTCATCATCTGTGGAGACAGACTGTGGCTGGGGGTGGGGAGACAGGCACCAGGAGGGGCACAAGACAGCTCAAGGGACCACTACAGCTGCAGCCAGGCCCAGCATAGCTCCCACCCCATTCAGCTACAGCAGGCTGGGCCAAAGAAAAGCCTTCCAAGGAGCCCTGGCAACCCTTTCCCCTCTCCTCAGGGAGTTGGGCAGGAGGGTGGCAGCTCCCTTGGGAAGGTGTCAAAACCAGAGTGATCCTCGACTCCAAACCCTGCTGGAAACCACAGAACCCTGATGTTGTTGTTTCCACCACCTTCCTCTTCTTCTTCCTGCTCAGGATAGGAATCCTGCCCAGCCACGCTCAGCCCCTCGGTGCAGGGCAGACCTGGAGCCCCGCCGGATTCCCGAGCGAGCAGAAACACGCGGTCACGGAGGGCAAACCCCACCTGTGTTGGGGACAGAAGAGGCACTGGTGGAGCCGATGCTGTTGGCCCGGGACACTATGCTGCCTTTCCGGGCATTTTCCATGAAGAGCGCTGGAAGAAGAGTGTCCCGGGGTCAGTGCCCAACGCGGGGTGTGACCGGGCGCAGGGACGTGAGGGACGTCCCCGGGCAGCCGCTGCCACCCACAAACGGGGCTGGGGCGGGCCGGGCACCGCCCGGGCACCTACCGGAATCCAGGCCATTGTCGCCGTAGGCCGCGTCCACCTGCGCGGGGCCGGCGGGCGGAGGAGACATGTC